CCGCCGCCGCCGCCGCCCGCCACAAGGCTCTCTTCTTCCTCCGGCCCCCCGGCGCCAGCCCCGGCCCCGGGGAGCTGCTCTGCGGGGACCTGCCCGCCGATGCCCTGCGGCACTTCGCCGCCCTCGTGGAGGAGGTAAGGCCCGGGCGTTCCTCGAGGCGGTGGCCCCGGGCGCTCGGCCGGGGGGAGCCGCGGCACCGGCAGGACCGGGCCCTGCCCCGCGCTCATGGCGGCGGGAAGGCTGCCTGCCCCTGCACACAGGCTCCTTGGCCCCCGTCCTGTCTCTGCAGATGCACTCCTGCCCTTAACTCTGCCCCTTTTGTCTTCCTGGCCCATGGGGGTCTCTAGAATTCATTTAAACCTCCCAAAGCCTGGTCCTGCGCCAGTCCAGGGCCCGTCCCGTGGTGTGGTCTGTGTGGGACTGATTGTGTTACGGAATCACAGAGTGGTAGGTGCTGGAAGGGATGCCTTGAGGTCATCTGGTCCAGCCAGGATCAAGCAGGACCCCCTGGAGCTGGTTGTCCAGGGCTGTGTCCAGATAGCTTTCAAGTATCTTCAATCTCCAACCGTTCTCAGTCACCCTTGCAGGGAAAAAGTGTTTCCTGGTGTTCAGAAGGAGCCTTGTGTAGTTCAGTGCCTGGTTACCTCTGGTGGGCTGAGGTTTTCCCAAAGGGATCTTCATGAGGTTCCAGTGCTTTCTTGTCCCTGAACCAGACAGCTTTGTCCTGATTTATTTCTGGTGGCCCCTGACCTGCAAAAGTCCCAGCAGTGAGACTGTATCAGGGAAGCAGAAGACCTGCTCGATTTGAGAAGCAGATTGATGCTGTTGGTATACTGAGATGGTGGCCAAGAGATGGGATTCCCAAGAGCAGGCTGCCAGACTGGTTGTCTTGGTTTGGTGGTGGGTAACACGTTCTGTACATGGGGAGCTTTTGTTTTGAGGTCTCTGATGAGCCCTGTGGTCCTGGTACGTGCACAAACAGCCTTTTTTGCCTGGTGGCTTTGTTTGTGAGGGGTGGCAGGTAGCATATGACAGGCATTGCAGACACCATCTGCCGCAGGAGGGTTGTGAGGTAGGAACGCTTCAGCGGATCCTGTTTTTGGCTGCCTTCCTGCCTTCAGCAGTTGGGTTGTGCATCCTGAGTGTGGGTTTACAGGCTTTTCTCTCACCCTCCGCAGACAGACATGGTCTGTCCTTGGGGAGCAGATTCCCGCTTTCGTCCCAAAATTCACTTCAGGGAAAACAGGGCAGTGGTGCCGGGTCAGGGAGCATGGGCGAAGGTGGAAAAGTCTTGAATTCCCTGAGGCTGGGGACATGCGTTGCTCTGCTCTCTGCAAGAGCACTTCTCGCAGGGTTTTTCATCAGAGGTTTTTAGAACGGTCTGTAGAAGAATTTGTCCAGTGAAAGAAATAGTTTGTGTCAAACTTTCTGTGGGTCACTCAGGACATCAGGAACAGGCACACCGAGCTGTGTCTGTGCTCAGTGAGGAGGTGCAGATGAGCTGCAGGGCGCTGCTGGGGCCACCTTGTCCACTTGTCGCTGTCTTGCAGCAGCTGAGGGGAGCTCCCCTCTGCTCTGTGGAGCTGGGGGTTCATCCTGAGTCCAATTATCGTTTTAACAATCGCAAAGAAAAGGAGCATCTATCATTTGATCGGGTACAACATCGCTAGCGTTGGGATTCCACACACACCTTAAGTAATAAAGACAAACCTTGCTAATACTGTAGCCAAGAGTGTCGAAGGTAACTTAGTAACATGAAGCGTTGTTGTTTGTCGCCGGGGGCAACCTGGCTTTGTCAGGCTGTTGCCACAGGCTGGTCCCAGAGAGGAGCCAGCCCGGGGTAGGTGGCAGATGCCGTGTTACTGTTGCAGCTCAAACAAGCCAAAAGCAGCTCAGGTCCAGGCAAGCCCAGCCCAGCCTGGAGACCCTGTGCTGTTGGATCAGCACAAACCCTGGAGATCTTTCACTGATAATGAAAAAAACTTAGTGGGCTGCAACTTCGAGAAATAACCTAAAAAGTGGCTGTGCTCAAAACCTGCAGTACAGTTGGGATGGGGACCTAGTTGACCCTCACCAACAGTTGATGCCAGGGGTACCAGAAGACCTTCCCTTTCAGCACACTGGGGGTTACCATCGAGGGACAGCCTGTGGGTTCAGCCCACCCCTGCCCATCCTGGAAAGCTGCCTGAAGGCCATGCCCCGTCTGCTGGCAGTGAGATGGGGAGCGAGCACCAGGAGGTATCCTGAGGGCAAGGGGACAAGAGCCTGTGGAGTCATCTCCAGTTGTGGGTTGGAGAGGCTGAGGATGGGGCTGCTCACTTCTTCTACTGGTTTCCACCCTTCTCGTCTCCTTGGACTCGGGGAAAAGGTGTACTAGAATACACAGTGGACCTGTAGAGATGCCTGTTTGTTGTCATCTGCCCTGATTTCACACAGCCAGGGAACTGCTGGGGACAGCAATGAATACGGGTCTCCAGGCTCAACTGAGCAAGACCTCAGAGCCTGGTGGCCTGTCTTTCTCCTGCAGCACTTCTTTCTCCGTTCCTCTTTCATGGCTCCTGCTACAGGTGATTGTGCCCATCCTGACGAACCAGAAGAACCATCAGGGCTGGCCACAAGTGGTGTCACAAGACATTATACGTCACGTCCACAACCTAAAAAGTACTGTTTTCATGGTTGTTGGCCAAGTGAAGGGCAAGACCTTGCTGCCTCTTCCAGCTGGCTCAGAGAGCATTGAGGACATTGATCTGGAAAATGAGAATTTGTGAGTACTACCCCTTCTCTCCATGGGGTTTTCTCCTGCTGATGCACAGTCTATGTCTTCTGGGGATCCTGCCCTCCCTCCAAATCCCAGTGACTTTTCTTACTTTCTGTTGTCTGCTACTCATCAGGCTGCCAAGATGCGTTTTGCTCTACCTGCTCTCTAGTTTACAGGCTCTGTCTTTGGGGACTGAGTGACAGCACAGGCAGGAAAAACTCAGAAAGTGCAAAGGTGGTGTGGGCGCCCAGAGAAGGAACAAACTGCTTGGATCATTGGGGAAAACCAAACCCTGCAGATAAAACCTCTCCTGTTTTCCTGGCGCCCCGACTGGGAAGGCAGGATTCTCTCTTTTTCTGGCTTCTCTCTGCCAAAGCTTGATCCCCAAATGGACCATTTCACTGTTAAATTACTTGCTCATTAGTGACTCATGCTGTCTGCTCGGTCAGGACTCTTCTGCCTCCCTTTAAAACCATATTTATCATGCAAAGGTACAGGAAAAAACACCTGCAACTTCCTGGAAGTTTATGAATCAATATGGTCCCATAGAGAGATCTGGAACTTATTGTGTCTGTCCTCCTGGAGAAGTGGGGTGGCTTCCCAGACACCCATTGCCTTTCCTTGTGTTTCTCTTCAAAAGTAAATGAATTACTTTGATAATTTCAGTTCTTTCCATTCCTGGTAGCTGTCATGATTCTAAAGTTCACTTACAGTCCTTGAGGGACAATCCCCAGGAAAGCCACCTCAGATTTTCTGGCTATCTTAGAATCATAGAATGGAAACATGGAATTATTTAGTTTGAAAGACCCTTAAGATCTTGTGTCCAACTCTAAACCCAGCACTGCCAACTCCACTACTAACCCATGTCCCTCAGCACCACATCTACATGTCTTTTAAATACCCCCAGGGATAGTGACTCCACTGCTTCCCTGGGCAGCCTGTTCCAAGGCTTGACAGCCCTCTCCATGAAGAAATTGTTCCCAATATCCCTCCCCCGGTGGATCTTGAGGCCGTTTCCTCTTGTCCCATCACCTGTTCCTTGGGAGAAGAGACCGCCCCCCCCTGGCTACACCCTCCTTTCAGGGAGTTGGAGAGAGCCAGAAGGTCTCCCCTCAGCCGCCTTTTCTCCCCGCTGAACACCCCCAGCTCCCTCAGCCTCTCCTCACAAGAC